AAAACAAAAAAAATAACTATTAAGATTTTGCTACAAAAAGCATAACCTTCCCAGGTTATATTAATTCATTTAGGTGTAAAAACATAATGGGCACAATCATATTATTATTCGCATTAAAGTCTGGTAAATATAAGTGTCATTTGTCTACATTATCATCTAAGTATGACTATGCAAATATTCAGATTTTACAACTCGTCATGATATTATTAGCAGAGCGTTTATTAGCATGACCAGTAGAATTCGCTGTTGTATGATTTGATAACGATACACCAATATTATCTGCCAATCAGAATACAAACAGAAACATTTAGGAGTCAAGGCTAAATGTATCTTGTTTTTCAACAATGGTAGTAAACATATGATTTTGTTAGGTTTCTTTTTCATCTATGCTACTGTTACTATATTAGTACCGAGCTTTATAAATCTATATCGTTGTTTGGTTGAACGCGCTGATCTCAAAAACTACTGGTCCGATTAGTAAATAAATATATACTCTTCCGCAAGAAGGATCACATCCATATTTATCCGCCAAATTGAAACATGAGGATTACTCTACAAAAGTAAAGGCCCCGTTTTTTGAAACATAGTTGAATTTGACTATCTATATATTAGTTAGAAAAATAGTTTATTTTCTATATAGCATTTTAACTACACATTTAACTGTATATCACACATCGCGTCCTAATATAGTTTTAAGGCCGATATAGTCGCACAGCGACTAAAACCTTTAAATAAATATTAAAAAAAGACATTTCTAGCTTATTTATCGTTTAAAAATAATATTTGACTATCTCAACGCAAGTCTTGCTATGCTTACTTTTGGGCATTTTAATGTAAAACAAATTCATTTTATTTATAGCTTTAATTTTGTCAATATAACACACTTAAATATAATCAAAAACATACGCTTTACCGAGCGAAATTAATTTAATGTCATTACCTTGTTTAAAATCATGTAGCGTTAATCACGGGAGTAATTATAATCATAGGGAGGATGATGACAAGGTAAAGAAAACAAAATTCTATTTATTCCGTCAGTCTGATTATTAAAAAAAATGGGTGCGTGTACTTATGTAGGCGCGTGAGAAGTTATCCTTCTTTGGCATCGTTTAAAATTAGTTTTTAATTGCATGCAAATAATTAATTACAATAAATTAATAAAAAGTCTGGAAAAGGACACAGTCAATAAAGTTCAGTTTTAATTTGAAAAAATAAATAAATAATCAAAATATTCAATTAAAATCGCTACTGAATATAACTTATTAGAACATTTGTGATTTGCACTTGTATGAAACTCAAACACGTATTCCGAATATACAAACTAGAAACATGTGGATAAATATTGTAAATATGAATACCTATAACTGTTACTTTTTTACAAAAAATAAAGATGTGGTTTTTGGTTCTACTACACCAATGGTCAAGAGATGGCGCTGTAGTCTCCTGAATCGCGCTTTGGTACCGTTGTTCCAGATTAATAAATACTTTTGATAGGCCTTCACAATGCAGTCGTTAGCACCCACTAAATAGAGATTCTATTTCTATTTTGTTGGTAGATTTTCTTAATGTGCGGTAAACACAAAAGTAACGCATGAAGTTGGTCGCTAAAGCCAACTTCATGTTGTTAAAATTTTGTGTTACAGTGATGCGCGCGCATCTTAAAATTTCACTCTCATCATTTTTTCATAACGCGCCTAAAGAAGTATAACTTCAAAAATAATGCACAATAAATTTATTTATGTCAGTCACTCAAAAGATGACAAAATAAATGGCGGCAAAGTTTGGGTGTCGGCTCGTGACGTCATTTCTAAGTAAACATTGTATTAATACGTGACGTCATGCAACATTTCAAATCGATATATCTCTGTAATGTTTTAATTGTTTTAAAAATGGAAAAAATATATGTCCAATACTTTTTGATAATCTACCCGATATACGAAGAAAATAAAGTTGGTAATCTTACCTATTTTGATACATTCTATGTTATAAATGAAATCTTAAAGTTAATATATATATATATATATTTTTGTTTTATATAAGTACCCAAGTTGTCCAAATCCATTTCTTTCCAAAGAAAAACAAATCAAAATTATTTATCTTTGTTAGGTACACCTCATTATTTTATTTTGCTTAATCATTATTAAACATTAATCTACCTTCTTAAGAACTTTGTTACAATTCTCCGGTTGACTGGTAGTACTGATGTCTGTCTATACTGAAGTCCGCCATTAGTACACGTATTTGTGCAATTAAGTTTAAATAAATAAATAATATATGGCAATTGTCGATTTTACTAAGCCGGTTGTCCTTGAAGATACGCACTCATTTATTAATGAGATAAATATTGACAAAGTTAGAGGACCGCGATGACGCTTTGGCAATAAACATTTCCGTCTACGATTGTCGGAATTAAGGAACTTTCATAATAACCGGTTATAGGATGGGTGTGATTAAATTTTAGTTGTCCTGATCTAATTGAATCTCCATCTAACTTTATTATTAGCACTCACTTATCTATCCTCGGGGTGTAAGGGTTCCCGAAAACACCTCACGGGATTTATAGTCATAGTCATATAATCCTTAAATAATTTTCATTGCATTGGAAATCACAAACAATTTACAATAAAATTATTACATCAAATTAAAATTACAATCTAATTAAATATGATTAACATAATCTTTCAATAATTCTTATATAACATTTTAAAGTCAATTCTCAAACAATTTACAATTAAATAACTCCAAGTATACCTCACTTCTGTAGCCTCTTTCTGCAAGGATGTCATCTCGCAGAAGGAGGCTGCAGAGAGGGTTCGCGAGGAGCAAGCTCACGCGGACTCTGACCGACCGGGGAACCCCCGTCATCGTCAGGCTCTCCCCGGCAGAGGCCTGCGGGTTTGGACTTGGGAGGTTCAGATCCTGCCTTGCACAGTCTTTGCTGGTGGCTAGAGATGCTTGCTTGCTCCGGGGCATCCCCAACACTCCCCTCATCCGGGGGGAGAGGGGTGTGTCCGTTCGACTCGGACGCTCACTGGTGAAGACGCGGAAGATTCCGTAAGGGTTCCCGTAGCCTCATCCAGTGCCGTTGTCTCAACCACGCTGGTTGGGACCGTGGATCGAGTGAGGTGAGGGGCATCGTCAGGGTTTTAGTGGGTAGCCCCCCCCCCCTCCCTCCTGGGCGGTCGCTGAGCCAGTCCCAGGACTGGCTGAGTGTTCGGGAGGAATACCTCACTTGGAGTCATTTAATTGACATCAGATTAAAGTCAACCTCACGCGCGGTGCATCCTGCTAAATAATTAACGAGACTCTATCGCTCCCTACCAACCCGCATGGGCCAGCGTGGTGGGAGAAGACCTAAACACCCCCATTAATAAAACCAACGCAAGCAACAGATGCGGGCAACGCAAGACCAATCGGTTTAGAATTCTTAAGGGGAGGCCTATGTCTAGCAGTGGGCATCTCTCGGCTGATATGCTATTGATGACCATGAATTTATTCTCATCAACAGCCTATTACTGTCATTACTGCCTGGTGACATGCCTTCCCTATGGGTGGAATAAGGAGAATGGGGCCATCAACCGCTTTCAGTAAATGCCAGTTTGGATTAGTAAGTACCTTCTAATGACTGCAGGTGGAATCAATAGCTAGCTAACCATAAATATCATCATTAACATTTTGTTACCTTACACATAATCTGTTAAAAGAGTCTTTTATTAACATAAATGCTAGGACACAGTAAGAGGTAGGGCATAACGGATTTTCTGCTCGAATTGGAGAGCCCGTCTGGGAAAGCAACCCTCCACCTTACAGAAAGTTGTGTTGCATTAAAACCGCCATTTGTTGTAAAAAAATAAAGAGTAATTAAATAAATAACACCAAAGTAAATAATAAATAAATATTTCCAACACTCACACCAATTAGCCTAGCCCCAAAGTAAGCACTATAAGACTTGTGTTAAGGGATGCTAGGGTAACGGATAGAATACATATATAAGTATATTTATATAAATATATATTAAACATCCATGACTGGAGTACAAATGCTCGTATTCATCACACAAAGACCTGCCCCCGCCGGGATTCGAACCCGGGACCTCTCGAGTCGGCGACCCCATGAAACCCGGCGTACAAACCACTCGGCCACGGAGGTCGTCAAAATAACGCTACTGTTAGGTGGAGTTTTGTTCTATCGGTGAGTAAGGTTCCAGAGCCTCTTGGGGTATTGATTCAAGGTAGGACACGGCACAAGTGATATTTTTTGACTCGCAATCATCTATCTATGGTGGTTGCTTACCATCAGGCGGGCCATATGCTTCTTTGCCATTCTGTAAACTAAAAAAGACACGGTCTTGTACTTATACTTCCACAAAGTACCTTTAAGTCCTCTGAGGCTGTTGGTCTGTGACGTGAAGTGATCATAATAGGATAGGGTGTTGTAAACATTTTCAAACCAGGCAACAGAAGCGCTATCCGCTATCCGGCTGGATGCATCGAGCAATTATGCTACCGCGGCCCTAATGGGCGCGTCGATCATACTGGATTCGAAACCGTATCCTCTGCTATTTAGGTGGATGCACCGCCCAATTAGACAATTATAATGTTAGGACGTAACGAGCATTTTACCGGAGTTATATAAGTTTATATCTATTTTTACTAATTATCTATGTATCTTTAATATATGAGTAATTTTATCCATTTTTGTTTACCACAAATGTGTCAATAAAAATACTTATTAGTCTTATTCTCATATAAATAGAGCAATGCTGCATAAGCTATTAAAATACTGTACAAATAGTTTCAAATACCTGTTTTAGAGTCTAGTAGTGGCGTCGTATATAATCACACGAAACTTGGTGATAAAAATAGTCGCTATGTAAACCGCCAAAAGAGTAACTTCAACAAAGAGTGTTCACAGTGTTTTTGATAAATTAAAAAAAAGTATACCCAAAAACAATATTTTCACATCAAAATAAATATTGCAACATGTAATTTTATTAAAACATGATATTTATTGAGATATTAATAAAAAAGAAAAGAACATAAGTGAACTTGTATCGCTTGATCTTATAAATATATATTTTGTGGTGTTAACATATATAATTTAAAAATTATCAAAGATAAACGCTTACTGATTTGAATTTTAGTATATCACACAAAGGAAGCGATAGTGAGGAATCGAAGCAACAAAAGATAACACACAAAGTCAATGTTAATAAAAATACCTAAATGAGATAAAAATAACTATCAGTTGTATAAGTGTTATAAATTGTGCCGCGCTCCTACCAGACTGTATTATTAATCAACGGTTGTGGATGTGAAATCGGCAAGATGTTTATTATTTTGTCAATTTTCGTGACATTAGTTTTTGTGCTTTATGTTTATGGAACAAGGAATTTTAACTATTGGAAGAAGAAAGGGATCAAACATGACAAGCCATACCCGTTTGTGGGAAATGCGTTCAATCAATTGGTTTTCAAGGATACAATAACGGACTTTTTTGTTGACATCTACAGAAGGTATCCTGAAGAGAGATTCGTCGGAGTGTATATGTCAAATGATCCTATTTTAATAGTAAGAGATCCTAAGGATGTTCAACGCGTATTGATATCCGATTTCCACAATTTCTATCCAAGAGGCGTGCTAAAACACCAAGATGAACCGGATCCACTTGTCAAACATTTATTCGCCCTCGATGGTGATTTATGGAAACTACTCAGACAACGCATGACACCCGCATTTACCACAGGTAAACTCAGGGCAATGTTTCCTTTGATCATTGAAAGAGCCGAGAAGTTACAATTGCTTCTAGCTGATTCTGCTCGAAAAAATGAAGAAATCGATGTAAAGGATTTTCTAGCGAGGTATGCCACAGATTTCATTGGTGCTTGTGGATTTGGAATCAATATGGATGCACTGCAAGACAAAAATTCAATTTTCCGTAAACTGGGACTCAGAATATTCAAAGCAAATTTTTTTGATATTGTAAGGAATACATTGAAATTATTATTTCCCAAACTTACGAAGTATGTGGCAACGGTACCACCAGATGTTACAAAAATGACTACGCATTTGGTATCAACAATTATGGCGGAACGGAATTATGAACCTTCGGGCAGAAATGACTTCATAGATCTTCTGTTAGAAGTTAAAAAGAAAGGGAAAATGATAGGAGAGTCTCTAGAAAAGAAGAACCCTGATGGATCTCCTGTAATAGTGGAACAAGAGTTAGACGATTTGCTTATAGCTGCCCAAGTGTTTGTGTTCTTTGCAGCTGGTTTTGAAACTTCTTCATCTACTTCTAGTTTCACTTTACATCAGTTAGCCTTCCACCCAGAAAATCAAGAGAAATGTCAAAAGGAAATTGATGAAGTATTGAAAAGATACGACGACAAACTTTCTTACGACGCTATCAAAGAAATGAAATATTTGAAACAATGTTTCTTGTAAGTATATTGTACCTTTGTATTCTTTAAGTTAGGAATTTTATATATTCTATTAAAATCAAATAGCACTGTTATTCATTGGTTCTCGTTCTAAATAAAGAGAAAAAGTAAAACAGAACGTGCTGCTGAATGATAAATTTAATTCAGTATTTTTTGAATGAAGAAATTTATTTTGTAGCTTTCATTTACCATTGTTTCTGATAATTTTATTTTTGCATTTGACAAAATCCAAATTATTTAATTTTGCATTAATGTACACAAAATATTTACTTAAAATAAGCGTGGTTAATTTTATTGTCTATTAAAATAAAATCTATATAACGTTTTACTCTTTTTACAGTGAAAGTATGCGAATATTCCCGTCTGTTGGTGTCCTGATAAGAAAATCTGCATCAAAATACACCTTTCCTGATTCCGATCTGACGATAGACGAAAATATTCAAGTGATGGTAATTAATCAAGCAATGCAATTGGACGAAAGATTCTTCGATGAGCCAGAGAAATTTATCCCTGAAAGATTTGACCCCGAAAATGCAAATAACATACCTAATCACGTATTTTTACCCTTTGGAGAAGGACCCAGGGCATGCATAGGTAAGATTATTAATGTTGTTATTTGAAGAATAACTTTGATTTAATAGGACTATCAACCGCATTCAGAGACCTAAGTTAAATTCGTCAGATTTTTTTACTTATTCTATTTTTTTGGCAATGAAACAGCAAAAAACTTAAATTAATGTAAAAAAAGTTACTTCACACAGTGATTGATTGCATATAGTCAACGTGTTGTAAACAGTTTTATAACGGAACACATGATTGGTGCCGCTTTAAAATTGCAAGTCATTCTTTGCCATCACTTATCGTTCTGGGAGTTCCGATTTCATTTCTTAATGACTTAATATTAAGGAGTATTTCCCATTAAAATATACATATTTGAAATACTTTAATCCTACAATTTCTCAAAGATTGGCTAACTTCCTTAATTATGGTATCGTTCCTTCAGAATTTAATAAAATAAAACTGTTATCTTGACAGCGTGTATCAATATTTTTTCTCTTAAAGATAAATATTATAATTATAACACCACGTGGTTTTATCATAATTATATATATAGTTATCTTGATAACAATGTGTAAAATACCTACTTAACCAAATTAAGAAACAAATCAAATTATCATATACATAATATTTACTTTTAAATATAAAGTGTTGCGCGGTCTTTCCCTGACCATGACTTAGTCTAAACGTTAAGATAGATAAGGTACAAATATCTTTATTAATGTGTTGGTGTTAAACCCTTCAAATATTTTTGTTTTTATCCCGTAATCATTACAACCTGTTAGCTACTCATTTGCAATCACAAAAACATGACAAAAAATCATATTAAGTTTCTACAATTTCAATACCATAATCATAATCATCTTAACGACGATTTAGAAAGAACCTAATAGGCCGATCCGAAGCGTTTCAGTGTCCGCCTACTCAGAGGTCCTGGGTAAGATACCTGTATTTGTGTAATGAATACGAGCATTTGTACCAAGTCATAGATGCTTATACGTATTTCTATATAGGGTGAAATTGAATGTTTCTATGAAACTTCGTGAGATTGTTGGGTTATGTGTATAGAGTATGCCTGTCTTTTTTCGGATTTTTTTGAAGTATATTTTTTTCATGTATTTATTTATAATTTGTGTATTTTTATGTCCTTTCCTCGTTTTAGTTATTCATTTTAAACAAACAAACTTACATATCCAGTGAAAAACAACTAATAAATAAGCACTTCACAAAAACATTGAAATTCCACCGCGGGTCAACGACCGACCGCGCCCGCCAGCCGTTGAGTAAGAAGCTACCGAACTCTACACAGAGCTCAACTGACTCGTTTGATTCCACACAATAGGTACAATAAAATCGTCTTAGATGCCTTTATTGAAATTGAAATAATAAGCACAAATGTCATCTTTTCTTAAGCAGAGAAAAACTTTAAAAGTTAATTTGTCACGATTGGAAATAGGCAAATGTTAAACAAAAAGAAATACTTATTGCTTAATACCCCAAGAATGAAATTTATAACCAGGTATTCAAAAGTACTTACGAGACCGGCGATTTAGGTAGGTACAACGAGGAACGAGGAACATATTCATTTTTTTCACTAGAACTTTTTATCAAATCAATCACACTGGTAGTACACAATTAGTTGTTTCTAATCAAAAAGTATTTACACTAGCAATAAAAAGAGACTTAAATTATTATCTGCAAAATTGTTGCTCTAAACCACCATTTTGCTGCAAACAAAGGTTGCCTGTTTGCGGACGTGTCTTTTCACCTTTTTTAAAGTGTCCCTATCACTACTCACTGCACAAAATGCAACTTCTATGGTTTAGGGACTCATTCGTAAACCAAACCTACTTCGTCACACTCGCGATAGCAGTACACCATCTCTAAATATTCTTGGTTTGTATACCGAGGCATAATTAAATTATCACAGTGTATGTCACCAAGTCAAAAGATGCGCACGCTCACGCGCGATTGATATACTTGCGACTGCGTTTTGCATGCAATCAAAGCAAACGTCCGCGTGCGGGGAAGAGGGGAGGTGGGCGGAATTCACATCATCAAAGACGCCGCAACCGGCGCTAGTTACCAGCGTGCGGCGCGCCGCCCGCCCGTGCTTGCCGCAAAACAACATATTATTATGTGTGTGTGTGTGTGTGTATGTGTGACTGTGGCTGTGATTAAATGTGTTCGGAATTTCATGACGTGGGCAAATCAGACACGAAGAGTTCCTTCCTTCACTAAGCTCGTAAGTTATACCGATTTGCTCTTAATTTTAAGAAGATTTATTTTATTGATTAATTACCTGTGCTTTATGAAATAATATTCAAAGGTATTGTGTATCAGTGAATAAATAATTATAATATAGCATCTAAGACTATTTTATTGTATTGTTTTTAAATAGTGTGGATCAAAGCGAGTAGGTAAGCGCCGAGTCATCTGTGCGTGTAGTTAGGTACCTACAGGCGGCCACCGGTCGTCGCCCCGACCGGCGCTGATCTCGACTGGAGGCATAATGAAGGCATTCATTAAGTTTCCGTTTTTTTAGTAGTGCTTATTTTAAGTTGCTTTATAACTTCTATGTAGACGTGTTTAAAATGAATAATTACTCATAAGGAAGAAATGACAAAAAAATAACCAAATAAAAAATTAAAAAACGAAAAAAAATTATTTTAAAAAATCCGAAAAAAATCAGGCATACTCTATACATGTAACCCATCAATCTCACGAAGTTTCATAGAAACATTCAATTTCACCCTGTATATACTTAAATATGTATCAGTATATATATTCTATCCGTTACCCTAGTAACCCATAACACAAGCCTTACAGTGCTAACTTTGGGGCTAGGCTAATTAGAGTTGGTGCTAGAATTATTTATTTTTTATGTTTTTATATATTTATTTTTGTCTTCTTCTAATTATATTATTTGGATGATGACGAATACTGATCTGGGAATTATTTTTTTATCATCTATCATTTCAGGTGAACGCTTAGGACTTATGCAGGCACTGGCCGGCTTGGCTGTGATACTTAGTAAATTCTCAGTGGCACCATCTAAAAGCTCGAGAAGGCAACACATCGGCGATCCATACGCCGGGTTAGTTCAATCCGTGAAAGGTGGCGTACCCCTACTACTCAGCGAGAGGAAGTAGACGAACTGACAGATTTCAGAAGATAAACCATTTTACTGGTGTACTGTTTATGTTAAACTGGTGTTGAATTGCTGAGTGATTTAAAGGATATTACCAAAGCATTTATGTTTAGTTCTCTGTAGACTGCTTTTAAAAGGCTTATTTTTATTTCACTTCTTTATTTAATTTTTTTTATTCTTATCGTCATCGTCTCATCGTTAAATAAATTAGCTCCATTGTTATATAAATTAATGTACATCTATAATACTACATAGTGGGAGCGACGAATCATTTGTGCAATAATGAACTTACATAACGATTTTCTGTATTCGATATTGGATTATTTAAAATATTGCTCCTAAGGTTTGAGTCTTCGTTTAGAACTTATGGGTCGAAAGAGAGTAGAAGTGATTTGCTTTATATGGTTACATGTTTAGCTAAAAATTAAAATAATTTAGAGATGGATTTCTGTGATATTTAGGACATTTTTAGACTACAAGGAAGGGAAATGAGTGTCAAAACTAACCTACAATTGTGGACCTGGATTTACTACATAATTCTTTATTTATTCGTCAAATTATATATACTTATGCATCCCGCTTTCCTGTCTTCTGCATATGGTACAGTGGAACTCTTTAATGAAATATTATGCCCACCAGGTGGCATAGTTGAGTTGGCTCATCTGGCTGCGTCTTCAAAGTGATCTTTTAGCATCCTCTGAAGCCGCCACTGAGCGTGCTCGCCTTCTTGCGGTCTTTCAGGCAGAGTCTGGTTATTGTCTGCAAGCTATTACCTTTATATTACCTTCAGCAAATATCGGGACTCTGCTTGACAAGAGCAGTTGCTTAGCTTGGCGTCAAGACAAATAAATCATCCCCATCGCTGTCGTTGCGGTACCCGCGTCGTCGAGTTAGGACACCATGGTCTCTCATGCCAAATGAGCGCTGGTTAAGTCTTCCGCCACGCCTGCAACAATGACGTCATCCGCAGAGCTCTTGTCGCTGTCAATGTAGCAGCGGTCCTTTAGCCTAACGGCACATTTCGCGACGATGGCAAGAGACCTGACGGTATGACGCTCATTCCTTGGAAGCAGGCTCGTCCTCTTGTATGGGTCGCTTGCGTGGACACGCTTGCTCCGTGCCATACATGTAGTACTTCCCTAGCTGCAGGAGCGGCGGCCTCTGCTGAGTGCTCCAAGCGGCGCAAATATTCAGCTCTTAATGAGAACTACGGTGGAATCCGTTTATGATGACATCGAAGGAAATTGACAAACATGTCATAATAAGCGGCCGAAATACAAAGCGTTTTGGGAAAAAAAATGTTTATATGTACTTATGTATTAATAGAGAAACATAGTACATATATTATTCAAAATAAAAAGAGGCGTTGAGATGACATTCTGTTCACAAATACCTCCAAGTGTCAATTCCGCACTGAGATTCAAAACAAAAACGAGCCACTTGCCGAATGTCGTCAGGAATCAACGAACATTATCGAAGATGTAAAGAATCAAGTCGGTCATTATAACTGGACATAATTTATTAAAAATGGGTCATAGTAAGCGACATTCCATACATACATAAGGGAAGTCATTATATCCGACTATTTTACAAATAATTTAATATGAAAACCAAACTTCGTAGTGTAATTACGTCATTATAATCGGTTGGTCAATATAGGCGGAGTCATAATAAACGGATTCTACTGTACATATTTGTGCACTTTGGTGTTGAGACTATGGGCCTTCCCTTTTTAAGGAACTGTCAAACAGGCTCATTTAGGCGATTGGTGATCAAAAGACTGGCAGCTATCTTAGTCAACGGACCAGCATTGCTATGTAACGTGGCAATGCTGCCAGCCTATTGGGCACCATTCCTGACGGCAGCGCTGGGGGTGACATATTTTTATTTGGTAAATGATATATTATTTAAGTAGTTAAGTAGGTTAAGGTAATTTGGAATGTAAATTTTAGTCATCATGTAGTTTTTAAGTTTTTGTTATTGAAATATAGGTATAAATTGTTTTAATAAATAAGTATACTCTTATGCATATTTAATTTTAATAAAAATATACAAACATCTAGATTATCACTATCTATGCCCTTACTCTATGTTTTATGGATAGAAATCATATTGCTTTACAGGAATTAAATGATTAATATATCACAACTATCCCTCAAACCAGATATTTTTATATTAACTGAGTGCAGATTACAAATACCTTTATTAATTGACTATTCCTTACACCATATGATAAAACAACTTAACCAAAACGATGGTGTGGAGACATATATTCAGTACTTATAAATAACACCGCTAGTATAAGCTTGTGTCAAAGAAATTAATCTAACATGTGCATCGGGACTCCAAATAATAGAAAGGTGTCAATAAAAATGCTAAGTTGTATGGTATTGGAAGAAGAGAGGGATCCCCGTCCCCGTCCCAAGCCATACCCGTAAGTGGGAAATTCATTCAGTCAACTGGTTTTTAAGGCTACCATTACGGACTTTTTAGTTGACATGTACAGAAGGTATCCTGAAGATTGATTCGTCGGAGTGTATATGTCAAATGACCTAAATTTAATAGTAAGAGATCCTGAGGATGTTCAACGAGTATTGATATCCGATTTCCAAAATTTCTATCTAAGAGGCGTGCTAAAATTCTTTTTCATTTATTTGTTATTTAAATTTATTTATTAATTTGCATACATTAGAAACACCACTACAGCACAAAAATCTTGAAGATTTATCTGTGCTGCAGAGTCGCTCCACAGCTAGTTTTCTAAATAATACTTTTTAACAAAGGGTCTAGAAGATTTTATTTTATTTTGAATAGCCTCTGGTAGTTCACTGGTGAATAAGGGCAACAAATACTTAGAAGTTCTGGTTCTTATATATCATAAATATTGTTGTACTTTGTAGTAATATTTAAAAAAGCAATGTCAAAACAACGTCTAAAATTACTATGCAAATGGTTTCAAATACCTGTTTTAGAGTCTAATTGTGGCGACGTATAATAATACGAAACTTGGGTAAAAAATAGTCGCTTTACGAACCGCCAAAAGATAATTTTCATCAAACAGTGTTCACAATGCTTTTGCTTTAAACCTCTGATAAATTTCAAAATAAAGAAGGTAAAATAACCAAATATAATATTTTCATAAATATTGCAATATATCATTTTATGAAAACATGATATTTGTTGATAATGTAATAAAAAGAAAAATAAAATAAGTTAACTTGTATCGCCAGATCTTATAAATATATCTTATTTATCGTGGTGCCGACATTTATAAATTAATATTTATTAAAGAAAAACGCCTCCTGATATATTTTCGTCTATCACACAAAAAAATACCTGGTCTGTTATGGCTAGAAGTCGATAGTGAGAAGTAGAAACAACAAACGATTAAACGCAAAGTCACTGTTGATATAAATATCAGCATGAGATAAAAAAAAAGTATTATAAATTGTGCCGCGCAGATTGAATTATTAGTAAACAGCAGCTGTGGATGTAGAATCGGTAATATGTTTACTATTTTGTCAATTTTAGTGACATTAATTTTTGTGTTGTATATTTACGGAACAAGGAATTTTAATTATTGGAAGAAGAGAGGGATCAAACATGACAAGCCATACCCATTTGTGGGAAATTCATTCAATCAACTGGTTTTTAAGGCTACTATTACGGACTTTCTTACGACGCTATCAAAGAAATGAAATATTTGAAACAATGTTTCTTGTAAGTATTTTGTACCTTTGTATTCTTTAAGTAAGGCATTATATATATTCTATTAAAATCAAATAGCGCTGTTATTCTTTAGTTTTCGTTCTTAATAAAGAGAAAAATGAAAACCGAACGTGCTGCTGAATGATGAATTTTTAGTAGCCTTCATTTACCTATGACCACCAATGAATACCAATTTCAGATAACAACAATATTTCATTCCTTAACAAAATGCAATTTATTTTATTTTACATTAATGTACGTATTTACTTCATACTAGTGTGGCTAATTGTGTATTTAAATAAAATCTATTTAAAGTTTTACTCTTTTTACAGTGAAAGTAGCGTACATTTCCGTCTGTTGGTGTCCTGGCAAGAAAATCTGCATCATAATACACCTTCCCCGATTCCAATCTGACAATAGACGAAAATGTTGAAGTGATGGTAATTAATCAAGCATTGCAATTGGACGAAAGATTCTTCAATGAGCCTTAGAAATTTATCACTGAAAGATTTGACCCCGAAAATGCAAATAAAATAACCAATCACGTATTTCTACCCTTTGGCGAAGGGCCCAGGGCATGCATAGGTAAGATTATTAATTTTTTTTTTCTAGTAAACTTTTCTTTAGATTTAAACGTCTAGCAGTTAAACGCTTAAAAAATAAATAAAATCATAAGATTATTAATGTTGTTATTTGAACAATAACTTTGATATAATGGGACTATCGACCGCATTCAGAGACCTCAGTCAAATTTGTCTTATTTATTTTTCTTATTCTATTGTTTTGGCAATGCAACAGCAAAAAACTTATATCAAAGTAAAAAAACTTACTTCACATGGTGATTGATTGCATATAATCAACGAATTGAAAATAGTTTCATAACGGAAACACGATTGGTGCCGCTTTAAAATTGCATGATATCATTCTTTGTCAGCACTTATCGTTCTGCGAGTTCCGATTTCATTTCTTAATGAACTTAATATAAAGGAGGGTTTCCATTAAAATATACATATTTCAAATACTTAAGTTCTCACAATTTGGTTAACTTCCTTAATTATATTATCGTTCCTCCCTAAATTTAAAACTGTTATCTAAACAACATTTTTCAGTCTATTAATAGTTTTTTGCTTAAAGATAAATATTATGTAACACCACGTGGCTTTACCATAATTATCACTAAGCGTTGTCATTAAATAAATAATACGTGTGATAAGTTCGTATAGGTATAGTCCTCCTGCCACTGGAGGTTTTAAAATAATAATCTTGATAACAATATGTAAAATATCTACTTCACCGAATTATTAATCAAATGAAATTATCATGTACATATATTTACTTCAAATGACTGGTATACTTAGTCTAAACGTCGAGATAAACCTTTATTAATGTGTGGGTGTTGAACCCATCAATTATTTTTGTTTTATCTCGTAATCATTACATCGT